CACGTCGTCGAGGCCAAGCTCTTCGCCGACGAGCACGTCGACGTGCTCCTGGCGACGCTGCGCGAGCTCGCCGTGGCCGTGCCGCTGCTCGAGGGCGACAGCGCCGCGCGCGTCGCGGCGCTCGTCGAGTCGACGGCGCACGACAACTGGCGGGTCCGCGCGGCGCTCAACGGCGCGCTGCCCGCGGTGGCCCTGGCCCGGGGCAAGGACGCCTTCGAGGCCCAGCTCCTCGAGGGCTTCGTGCGATCCTTCCAGGACCGCATCTCCGAGGTGCGGACGTCGGCCGTCGCCGTGCTCGGCGAGCTCCGCGCGCTCAAGAAGCCCGACGGCGCCACGGGGTTGCCCACGGACGAGGCCTTGTTCGACGGCGACTGGCTCATGGAGAAGATCGGCAAGCGCCTCTCGGAGCTCTACCTCACCATGTCCTACTACCTCTACCGCATCACCATCGTCGCGGCGTTCGAGCGCCTCGCGCACGATGACGTCGCGGCCGAGCACATGGAGACCATCGTCCTCTTCCTCGTCGACGGCGCCCGCGACGACGTGCCCAACGTGCGCTTCACGGCCGTCAAGGCGCTCGAGACCGTGAGCCTCCACGCGAACGACCGCCTCGTCGCGAACTTCATCAAGCCCGTGCTCAACGAGCTCCTGGCGAACGACACGGACGCGGACGTCCGGAACTACGTCAAGGGCGCCATCGCCGCGCTCTAGAAACGGGCGCAAACGTCCCCAAGACCCAGGGACGCCAGCGCACCGAAAAAACACGACCTCCGGCGCGCCGGCGCGCGGCGTCCGCCACCGCGCCGCGCGCGCCGCGGCGGGGCCCACGACCGGGCCCGGCCCTCAACGCGCGACCACACCTTCGCATCAACCTCCGGGACCGCCCCGGCCGGCGTCGCGCCGGTCCATATAAAGGCGACCCCTCCAGACTCCGGGCGCGCCGAAGGCTCGGACGGCGGACGGCGGACGCGCGGCCGCGTCGGCGTCCCGGACGGCGCGGCGCTGCGGCGCCAGCCGGCGGAATCCACGTAGGGAGGCTCCACGAGCCTCCAGGAGGCTTGCGAAGGGGGCTCGGAGGCGACGGGCTCGACCGCTCGCGACGCGACTTCAACTTTACCTGTGCAAAACACAACGATAGCTCGTGGCCAAAAGGAACCAGCAAAACGCAATTGCAGGCCTCTCGCCGCGTCGTCGTCATGGCCGCCGCGGCGTCCGCTCCAAGCGACGCTCCGAGCGACGAAAGAGCGCCCACCTCTCTCTTCCGCGTCATCGCCGTCATGGTCGGGGCGGCGATCGTGGGTTCATCCCCCGGCTCGATTATGCGCGTCGAAACGTTGTGCGAGGGCCAATGGCTGGCGTCGTCCACGTTCTGCGAGCTCCCCGTCGGCAAACGCGTCGCCATCTGCATGCTTCTCTTCACGGCGGTGATGCTCTCGGACCTGGTCCTCGCCGCGCTCCGCGTCGCGACCCGCGCCGCGGTCGTCGCGACCCGCGCCGCGGTCGCGGCGCCGCGAGCGATCGGCGCCTTCGCGCTGGCCGCGTTCCACGACGCCGTCGCGGAGTGGGTCGCGCGGCGGGCGCTCCGCGAACGCCGCGCGCGCCGCGCGCACTACGCGGCCTTCGCGGAGCGCGAGCGGGTCAAGGCCAAGGCCGAGGCCGAACGGCAGCGGGCGCGCGGCAAGCCGCCGCCGCCGAAGGCCCGCAAGGCGTCGGCGGCGAGGCCCCGCGCCCCCAAGGCCAAGGCCGAGCCCGCGGCCAAGCCCGCGGACTCGGAGAAGCTCGACGTCGTCCCGGAGGTCGTCCCCGCGGAGCCCGCGGGCGTCTCGTACGTGTCGCCCTGTGTGGAAATCAAATATTCAACCCGACTTCAATGTGCGCGTAATTGAACGGATTGCGCCGGAATCTTCGGCCGTGCTTCGAGAACTCGATGAGAGCAATCGATTCGTCCAAAAATCAGCCGAATCGACTTCGATTTGATCGAGATAGAGAGTTCTGAAGTTTGGTGGGGACCCCCCAAACCAGTGGTTGATTTCCACACAGGTCTCGCCGGACGACGGCGTCGGCGTCGAGGAGTCCAAGGGCGGCGAATTCGGCGTCGGCGTCGAGGAGTCCAAGGGCGCCGAGCCCTTCGAGGAGACGCCGTCGGAGAGCACCGAGGGCTCGTCGCTCGGCGCGGAGGCCCCCTCGTCGTCCTCCGGCCGCTTCTCCTCGCTCGGCACGGAGGAGGAGGACAAGCTCTACGCGTCCCTCGACGCGGAGCTGTCGACGGCCCAGCGCCGCGGCGCCGCGCGCGTGCCCGCGCTGCTCCTCGCGCTCGTGGCGCTCGTCGTGCTCACGACGGCCGCGGAGGTCGGCTGGCTCGTCTACGAGCACGTCCGCCGCTCCGCGGCCGTGCGGCGCGCGCTGGAGACGGCGATCGTGCTCCGCGTCTGCCGCGCGGTCCACGAGACGCAGCGGGAGCGCGGCCTGCTGTCGACGTACGTCGCGTCGGGCGGGCGCGCGAACGCGCTGGAGCTCGGCCAGCAGTTCCTGCGGACGGACGCGGCGCTGGACCTCGCCGTCGGCGCGGCGCTGCGCCACGCGGACACGGTGCGCGTCGCCGGCGCGCGCTCGGGCGACACGGACCTGTCGCCCTCGCGGACGGCGAGCCTGCTCTACGGCGCCGTCGACGTCGGCGCGCGGCGGGGCCTCTACGTCGGCGGGGCCGCGCGCTGGTCCGCGCCCGCGCCGTTCGTGTCCCTCGCGCGCGACGGCTGCCGCCGCAAGGCCTGCGCGCGCCTCGCGGCGCTCCTCCGCCACCGCGAGGCGACGGAGCGGCGCGCGGGCGACGCCGCGGCGCCGGAC